ACCATGCCTAGGTAATTTTTTTTTTCATTTTTAGAGTACCTTTGACGCCCGAACATTAAAACTGATCAATTTGATCAAACATTAATTTTGCTGTGTCCTCTTACACTATACTTATCAGTAGAGGCAGCCCATTGATATCCTTTAGATAATGTTAACGAATAAATAATACGAGAACTGCAAATGAACTGCTTTGGACACACAACACTGCACAAGTTCATAGTCGGACGGCATTTTAGTTGTCCAGCTGACGAAGAGCTTCTGCATTGCTGTGTTGATGCAGCCTTTTTTGTGTGCATGGCCGTTACTTTTTTGATCTCGTCGATATCCAGAGGGATATTCAAGTCGAGATAAGTATCCCTTTTACGAACATATCACGGGGCACTTGCCATGTTCCTTAGAACTTTATATTGGGATTTTTGAATAATTATGATTGAATAACTCTTGGAACAGTCCCATAGTTGACTGGTTAGGAACCGATTGCCCCTTCCTTACTTCAAAATGGAAACATTGTCTTCTGATCGGTACTCGTACTGTATACTGAATCATGATTTCTCGATCATCAGGAATTTCTGTTCATTGCATCACTGAATGATCTCACTAAGCATCATACCTTGATTATACATTGTGTTGCAGCAAAACTAATTTGAAATTAAAGCTGTCAATACATCAATGCGTTTAATAACAAGAAAACATACTGTACAAGCCATAAAACAAATTTCATAGTCTAAATTCCGAATAGATATATTTTGTATGCAAATATGATGAGCACATCACACAGTTTATCATATTATGTGGTAACACTACTTAAGGACCGTATCGCCAGTCGTTCCTACAATTGTAGGATGCCTTTATGGTCTCCTTGACTTTCAGTCTTTTCTTTTATTCAAAAAGGCTGTAGTAGTTCCGTGACAATTTCAAGCTGATATAAGACGTGATATAAATCAAAAGCATGAACAATTTGATGCAAATAGTTATTTGTAACATAACCTCAAAATAGAGCGCTGACACGGAACAGGAGAAAACTATCAAAAGCAAGGAGGCAATAAACACGTCCAACAATTGTAGGTGCAACTGGCGATGCCCTAAGTAACCCTGGATAGAGTTCACAGGATACCTCCTCTCCTAAATTATCTGTACTGGGTGGGACACTGCTAGAGTTCTATGTTCATTTTTAGCGGTCCGGCCCAAGTGATTCATTTTCAATCTCAAATGTAACACAATAGGCGAAACCAAATGACATTTGGCACTCGTATCCACATTGTTAGCGCACAAAATTGTCTAAGGGCCGCTTTCACCAACATTAATATTATGGACCAATGGGAAAATACCTTATCGAAATGCAATTTGACAGAAGCTGTCAAAGGTCTCTGAATATTAGTGATTTCTATTGAAATATTGAATGAAATCGTGAAAATTCGACTGTATTATAAACAAGACCACTTTTTGATTCCAACATGATGCTTTTGTACAGAAAAAACAGAACAACTTTCATGTATTTTGATATATGTTATAGGTTTACATTTAACAATCCGTTATCCCCCTCAGCGAATGGGAATGCGGTAAATAATAGGTTGATTTTATAGCTGTTAAATTTGGCAGCAGATTTGGATGTTTGTTAATGTATGGCACTCTCGAATTTACCAAATTCAATATACTTACTGAAAGTTATCATTACATACCTGTTGAATAGTGTGGATTTGTCTGTATTTTGCACTAAAATAGAATATAAAATACATTCCATCCAATTCCTCATCTTCCTTTACGTCGTAATAGTAGTCATTTATTAATTTATGGGTTAATGAATTTCTTCAAAGCAACAAAAACATTATGTCCTCTCCATCCTAAAACACAGATAATATGTGTAAGACGTGTCAATCCCTACATCTCCCTGATGCATAATGCAATTACTATGGACGTAGACAAAAAATTATGAAAAATGTTTAACAAATAATGTCTTTTAAGTCCAAAAATCATAAAAAGTAGTAAAGTTTGTCTTTTTGACTGGCGGGGATATCTATTTGTCACTCACAGGGTTGCCAAGTCTAACGACTATCACGTCCCGTGGTGGAGGGTGCGAAATGAATCTTTTACATTTGCTGGTTTTGAATTTTTTTCGTGAAAATTTACCAGGTATCACGATTATAAGCATCTTTGGTAGATTGTTCGATGCGGAATGGGAAAGATCTATTTATGAAAATATTTTTGGTATCATCTAACCGTTGCAATCAGTGCACAAACACTGTGACATATGATTTACAGGTATAGCATAACCCGCTGCCCTATCAATACAAATTTAACGTACCGGTCACCTAGCCGTGGGGATGCAGTGGTCGGGATGAATATCACGGCATCAACTGATGATTTGGGCATGTCTGGTAACAGCGTATGAAGTGAAACTCGCTAACTTCACAAATTTGAAGATTTTGTACAATTTCTTTGAAAATGATGGAAGATATGTCTGATTTGGCAGGGTAATGTCGCAGCCAAATGGCAGTCACTCTTTCTGACACAGTCCGGATCGAAAGATGACGACACTCGTGAAATGTATTGATACTTCTAAATATAGGATCGTATCGAACATCCCTACCGTCAAGATGTATAACCCAAGGTACCGACGAAGCTATTTTGCGGCTTCATGGAAATAATTTTAAATTTTCATTTGCATTTTTTCAAGTGTTGTGCAATGATTTTGGAAAAAATGTGACGAATAGTCTTATAAAGCATATAGTAGTAGAGTATATTTCAACAGTTGGCGGAACTTACTCCACTGGGACCAGGAGGGTGAAACGGGATATTAACGCACAATCTGGCAACCCTGTCGCACCCTCACAAAATGGCCGATGACAACCACACAAGTCACCGTGTTGTCATTGAATAGCATGGAATTAAACCTTCAGAGTATATGTTTTGTGACTCGTACCAAGAGTTGACAGATCCCACACATGTGTCACTCCTTGATATGCAATAATCAGCTGTATTCAAATAATGTCTAATATAAATATAACCTAGAATGTGTACTCGTGAAAAAAGAAAAAGTTGGCAAATTTGTAGTTTTTTTTGCAGGTTTTATGTTTGCTGGTAGCTTTAAGGCATATATCTGGCAATTTCTTAATCGCTGTGAATATAGTGTGGATGTTTGTAAAGTTCCTGAACAACGAAAAATATTCAACTTTATGGATGTGTGGATATCAAAAAACCTGAATGGTTTTGTGAGAATATCAATCTAAGGTGCCATAATGGTTCTGATGAACGGCAAGTAAATGAATGAATGTTTGGAAACGAGCCTTTTGGTAGAGCCTGTCATCAAGTATGTGCTTAATGGCTATCTGCAAGAGGTTTATAGGGAAAAACACCCAGTATCGCATATCAATTGAAGGAAATTATATAAACGTGAATAAAAAATCAACAATAGTATTTAAAACACGAATTTTATTCAAAAATCCAACATTTCTTAAAATTTCGACTGAATTATATGTAATTTCTTAATATTCAATCAGCTGGTAATGTTTCAATGACAAGTTGTCATCTCATACTTTGACAGTATTTTGTTTTCAACATTTCATAGCTATTGGTTGCTAAAATTTGTTGATTGGAACTTGAAGCTCATTCGCTGTATCTGACGGTCTGTTACTCTATAGGTGGAGAATAACGGACTGTTCTTGGTGAAGTTGGCCCTAAGTGTGCTAAGTTTCATTCTTGTGTAAGATTAACTGGGGTAAAAAGTGTGTCTTACGAGAAATTTATTGAGGAGTCCTAAAACAGAAATTTAAAAAACGTGCGTATTTGTGATCTTCACCTCGAATTCAGCCCGACGGTAATTCACGATTTTTTTACCTCAATTTTCGAGTATAATGCCAAATTTTTTCATTTGTCTCAACAGGAGTTGAGGTTGGAAGCTTTATTATAAAAGACTCTATGTTTTGGATTTCAAATCAAGATGGCGTTTCATTAAGGCTTGAAACATGCTTGTCTAACACGAGAAACAGACCCGACCAACCAAGAAGTATTAAGGCGTATGGAAATTGGTCCAGAACTACTTATGACCATCAAATGTAAAAAAACCTTATGTTTCTAAGGTCTTTGAAAAGTTATGTGAACCACTGGTCCTAAGTCACTTCAACTACTGCAACTTCTATGGATCCTATCTGACAAGCAGATAAATCCCATATTCAGAAGGTTCAAAACCGTTGAGGTAGATTAATTTAGGGAATCAGGAAGTATGACCGAGAAACACAAAATCAGAGAGTGCAAATGGCTTAATTTGGAAAAGAGACGTACTTATGCACCTCCACTCGGAAACTCTTATCAGACCTGCAGATCCAAATTTTACAATTTATTCCAGAAACATCAGATATGGAGCCACTTTCACAATCCCTCAACCTACGACGGCAATGTTTGAGAGGTCGTTTATTTATAATGCGATTCGTATGTACAATTTGTTGCCAAATGAATTTAGAGCGTACAATATTAATAAGTTCAAATTCAAACTCAGAATCCTCCTTTTGATTCCCAATAGAACTAGAGTTTTGCTATGCCACCTGGTTTCGGAGCTGAACGCTAACAATATCATACTTCACTCCTGCCATACAATGTTAGTGCATCATTTTTAATTGTATGCTTTTTCTATCTAATTATCTGTGACAATATCTGAATGATGACTGGTATTATATTTATGCCTTACCTTGCGAGATTTGCTTTTCTTAAACATTTGAACTGCGTGTATGTCATATGACCATTCTGCGAGTCCTTATTGTATATTTTTTTAGCGCAATTATATTTCTTTGATGATGATTATGACAATTCTGCGCTCCTCCTTGTAGGTATATATTTTTTGTGCACTTGTATTCTTTCTGGTGATTGAGCAGAATAGATTGAAGCTAGTCCTCATGAAAATTTTGTTTATTTGAAGAACGTATTGTTACTTTTTTTAATAAAGTCTGTTATTATTATTGTTCTTATTTTTATTATCTACGAATTAGATATGTAATTATTTTTCACACCTGTTTGTTGCGTTCCAGAACATAGCGCTTCTGTACTATGGGTAATTGAAGAAGACAACATTGTATGATCCTTACTATGAAGTACCTAATGGTTCGCCGACCTTGGGCTGCACTCACTTGTTTTTGAATTCTACGTAGACCCCACACTAATAAAAACAAGTTGATGCGTAGCGTCGTTCCCACCTCCTGCGCTTGCTTGTTTGTGGACTTGCTCCTGAAACTTGCTCACTCCATATTTGGAGAGGAGATGGTAATGTTTGTCTCACTCACCTCAATTTCATTAACCGGTAATAGGAAACGCACAGGAAATCGCAGTGTACCCGAAGGCATACAAACAAGCAAGGCAACAAGAAGACATCCTTTGATCAGAGGTCGTTAGCCATCTATGTCGTGTGTGTCATTGACAAACGGCGCGAATTAAAATAGTATCAGTGATTATTGAAAGGAAGACAATGAACCATTTGGACGAAGCAAAGGTGACTCAGGAGATCTTCAATATTTTTAGAACATGTTTTTTTTCACTAATAAATTTACCACATTCCTGCACTAGGTAGATAATCAAATTTAAAAACGGGGTCAAATTAGCTCTGCAATTCTCACGCAGTGCTGCAAGCAGCGCACAAAGGATTATGCTCAGCACAAGTTAGAAAAAAGTTAGCTACGAACATGTATAACAAAAGAAATTAATCGATCAAATCCATTTTCAACCGTCTATAAATGTCTTCCCTATCGACCGTACGACCGTCTCTGCAAGGTTGTTATGACTAATCTAGCCTCGTCATTCACGGTAGCCACCCGCCAATTGGATCACGGAGCTGGTATATCTCGAGATGAGGGTGTTGAAAATATTTCTTTCATTCCAAGTTTTAACAACTAATGTATGGATCACTCTGTGATATGTGAAGTATGTTTAACATATGCGTAGGATTACAAGGGCCTGGAAGCATATAAATATACGAATGCCAAAGAAACCCTCCCCCATCCCACACAATCTTCACTCAAAATTTATAATCCCTTAATTTTTTTCTGAAAATATCAGGAGCCACCGAAGTTTGTTTTAATTTTTCCTTTTTGTTTTTTGCCGTCTTGATTGTTCTCCATCTTGGGCTTCCCAGCCTCCATGATAAACCTTCCTAGATCGTAAAGCCCAAAAATCCTCTATTATCGTTTTAGGGAACAAAAGGTATGTTGTGTCATCGAAGCCAGTTTTGGGTATCTCTTGAGTAATGGCATAATGCTAGGTCTGACTAAATCATGATATTTGCACGAAAACACATATGTAGTTGCCCGTTGATTAGCACAAAATACCGTTTAACACAATATGTACTATATACTCTTAATAGGCATATGAAAGTATGCAGTTAACAAAGCATAGTGAAAATTGTAACGTATAAATTAATAAAAATTCCATTCATCAAGGACTAGCAGGTACGTTTTAGCTATAAAAATGACAAGATTTGATGAAGATATGTATTTGTAATGACTTGTATGTAGATCGAAACAAAAAATGTAGTAACGGTATAACGTGTATGATCGTGAGAGAACGTTTCTGTTGTTTTTATCGAAAAACAATCACATAGATCGGTAGGGCGTAAAGTGAATGGTAAAATAAATATCTGAAGGATCATATACGAATGGAATACAGAGTGTGTCAAGATCTCGTGGATGTTAAGCTAATATAAGAATTTGGCAATATAGAGGACAAGTTGACTCTTCTCACTATCTATATTCCCTCGACAAGGTTCTATTTGTGTCAAGAACACCCCTGGTTTACAGACAAAAGGCATCAGTTGAGTCTTTTACAGCACTACTGTCCCTTTAGCACTACATTCAGTATAGACCAATTCTATAAGCTTGCCCTAAAACTGCAACTTATGCTATATACGTAATCGTCGATCACTGTCTTTAGGCGCTAGAGTTGCTACTTTTTGGACTGTTGCCGCAGGGATTTGAACTTTTTTCCGACGTTGAGAAATTCTAAGAATCCTGGGAGGGGATTGAAGGGTGATCCTTCCTGGGAAGATTCATGTCATTGTTAAGAATAAACGATTGATTTTCTGTAAAAAAATTAAGTCTGTTACTTCTCAGGGATTATTGCGAACCTGTTTGGACACGTGGCTATAACGTAGAAAATGTAAGCGAACGTTCTATTATAGCATAATTCTCAATGTACGAAGTGTCAGACAGAGGTAAGATGGGAAGCAGAAGCCTGGCGCTTTCGTCTAAAATGCTCAACGCACCACGGCATCATGAAGGAGAGCTCTGAGAAGCAAAGCCCATTGACATAGCGATTGAAGGCAGTAAGATCGCTAGGTCTTATCTAGGAATTCTACAAAGTGAGGAAGTTATGCGGAGAAAAGTGGTTGTTACAAACAAATAACCTAGCTGTTTACCGGCAGTTGTTGCGATTGGCTAGATGTTTCCATGCCAAATCAAGTTCTCGGTGACTATAACCACCAGAAGCGAATGGTTCTTTGGAGACGATTCATCGAAACCGAATGAGCGCTAGGGTGTTTCTTGTTGTCAACAAGAGGTGATATCTTCCAGGTATCTTGTAAAAGAGGAAGTCTTTTCATGAGTCATCTTCTCTCCCGCTCATTAGCAGAGATCGGATAGTCACAGTAGATGCCTGCGTGTAGAGTGCTGACATCGGCAGAGCTGTGGATGGGATTGATTCTGCTATACAGGAGGTCGTTGATACGCAATAGAAACAATATTGAGGCCACGACCGATCCCTGGCGGACACCCGTTAATGCTTTTGGCCGAAGACGAAAAACCGTCTGAGAGGCCAAGGATCGAAATTTGCTTAAGAGGGCGTATTTATGCCTTGTATAAAGTAAGGAGTATGAATCGTAAACAACAGCTTCCTTTTAACATCTGACAAATATCCTAACACCCCCATCATTTGAGGTGACGTGGTCATACACGGTGCTGTTCCCAGCAGTTTCCAGTAAACCTGAGATAATTCCCAACAAAATTATCCCTTACGCACTTCAGATTTGAGTAAGTACAATAGCTATTTGTCATAGGCAGTATTCTTAACAGAAGCAACTCGACGGCAACTGGAGTTCAACCTGATCCGTCTTCAGGTGCGTTGCTTTTGCGTTCCCAACCACAGCAGCTTCTAAGCAACTTGCTTTGAGGTTTTTAAAGTCACTAAATATGTTCTCATAAGTGAAAATGCGCAATAATACATAAATATGCTATTTTGTATTCTTAAGAACCTTGACAGAAGTAGAATACTATAAGGAAAGAATTCCACTAATCTGTAGCTTATATGAGATCAACCTGAGGCTTTATTACTAAGCAAACTAGACAAGTTTGATCTTAGCCTCGATTTGGGTTGTGATTTTAAAGACGTTTCCTTCATATATCTATTTATTCTCTTTTAACTATTTGTCACAGAAATTAAGTCTATCCAGATTAATCAAACAGCATACGTGGTATTCTCTGTTTACCAAAAGCTTCCACAACCTAACAAATAAAATGTACAGTGAATGATCTATGGAAAGTTAGATCTTGTACGAAAATATATTTCTTGAGTCTGATGATCGCCCACGATTAACTTGTTTATCACAATTTTTATATCAACTATAACCCTTATGGAAGGTTTTCAGCACTGCAGGTCCAACTAAATCTACACAAAAAACATAAGAACGCGATGAATAAGTACGTGTATCGAATTATAAATAATTATTTGAAGTTACGATGGGCACGTTAGTTGAATTGTTATTATCATAGCCACTGATCATCCACATATGACATTTTTATCAACTAGTACGATATTTGAAATCGATTAGCGATGTCAGTGCCATTAACGAAATATTTTATAATTCATAATGGTATTTTGTTACAGGCTCCTCTAGAAACCACCCGAGATGTTACAAGTCACAGAGGATACACCTCCGGATATGCTGGCAGGTGCCATGGACTTGACGGTACACCTTCCATCAGGACATCCAGTAAGGATGTCGGTTGAAAGGAGGTAAGTTTTATTTGGGTGTCAATTTAGGAAATATTACTTTATAAGACAATAATGGCAGTGTATATATACTTCCAACATGACTGACTTACCTAAACCCGAAAGTGACGCTGATACATTTGAAACTTTTCATTATTAAACCTCCCTCCACGAAGTATTATCCATATGCAACGTCAATCTCAAACTATGTATGAATGCTTAATCTCCTTTGATAAATCCATAGGGTGCTTCGTCGGTTAGAAAATAATATTAATATAGGGCCCCATTACATAAAAATACTAGACTAGTAATTTACACTTGTAAATCTGGTCAAATCATATTTTGTTCACATATCACCGACTATACTTGTATTTAACGTCACCCTGAAAATACAAGTGCAGCACTAACTCTCTTGTACCAGTATGTTAACGGGCTTTGGTCTCCTCCATGTTGCCGCTGCGCGATGTGCCTACCGGACAGAACCGCCTGACTTCGGCATCACATTCTATTCATGTTGAACTTCATACATCCAGAACTGGCCGATACAACCGCTCCTTTTTCCTTAGGGTATATACGTTCTAGAACAATCTACTTGAGGAAACTTTTCCCAATTCTACTAACCTTAGGTAGTTTAAAAATCATATTAACAATGTTTATTTAAGCTCCTGTTAGCAGCCGCGGCGCTCTGGTATTTAAACTTATGCCTACGACGCTGCTTCGATATAAAATAACGTATGTCCTAAAGGTTTTGGCACAAAACACTTATCGGAATTTTTTAACGAAGAAATTTATTTAAACACTAACTAGTTATCATAAATTACAACTCAATACTTCCTATCGAATTTTGTAGGGTGGCCCATTCTGCTCTACCAGAAGAATCTTTCTTCCAATGTCTCTTATTTGGTCCTGGTCGGAATTCAGATCTACTTCTCTCAGTTTTTCGTAAATTCGCCGTCTTGATTGTTCTCCATCTTGGGCTTCCCAGCCTCCATGATAAACCTTCCTAGATAGTAAAGCCCAAAAATCCTCTATTATCGTTTTAGGGAACAAAAGGTATGTTGTGTCGTCGAAGCCAGGTTTGGGTATCTCTTGAGTAATAATGCCATAATGCTAGGTCTGACCAAATCATGATATGGTCGTTACCATGATGATCGTGGACAAACTGAATCAATTTGGAAAGGCGGTTATCAATATAGCTCTAATTATCCAAAGCTTCACCTTTCCACAAAAGGTTGGGATACACCCCTGTTAGTCTCAATTCCAACGATATCGTACTCTTAGAAGATCTGTATTGATGAGCCAGTCTCCTTGTTGACATTCCAACCTATTTTTTTGCTCTTCTCACCAATATATCTGACCTCTGTGCAGTAAATGCACGTGGTCTTTCACTTTTTGGGAGATTCAGGGGTGGTATTCCCTGCTCGCTCTGCGCTATTGTTCGATAAACGGCTCTTCGTAAAATGTTTTTAACTCGAATATTCGACAGATTTCAGCTTTGGGTACCCGCCCAATCAACTTGTAGATACTTTTTCTGATTTCTAATTTATACGACATCTCAAAACGAAAACTTCAAAATAAATAAATGTCAACCGACAGTAAAGTGATTAAACAAAGTTTCGGTACCAAAGCCAACTTGATATTATTTTGTGTTAAAGTTAATGCCAATGAATCTTGTCCCAAGACTTTTAGGACATACGTTAACCGTTGTTACCATCATCTAACACTTTGTGTTTCAAGAAGCTTGTCCCATTGGTTTTTACCAAACTAGAATCACTTCTATACATTTATGGAACTTGAATACCCCACTTCCGAATATGGTCTTTTAATATGAAGTTGTAGCGTCGTATTTAAAACTTAGGAACATAATATCTCGTATTGATACGAGTTACAAATCAACTCACCTGAAATTATCGAATATATAGAATAGAGCCCAGGTGACCTCCTTGATAGATCTAAGGCGTGACATTTTTTATTGGTTCATCGAATGGACTTGACCCTAATGCTAATCGATTTTTTAAATAATGTATCACATTTCAAGTTTCAGTCGTCTACCGATTAAATGAGGATACAGGGATATAGTCTGTATATTAAATAACCCTTTTCTTCATTGTATTTATGCGAGGACGTAGTACAGACAAAAAACAACTAATCACGAAATACCAGAAGCAATCTAGAAAAGGAAACCATAATTTTATATCAGCTTCTCTGATCATAGACACAAAGATTTTTTTATCAAAAAAAGATGATGTCAATTCTACATTTTCCACGCAATGCTTCTGCGGAAAAAGTTAACTGCGAACATGTATAACAAAAAAATTAAATGGATCAAGTCAATCATACAGGCACATACGATTAAAATTTGTACAATTTTGGGGCTTTATAGGATTTGCCCCCCTTTAGAAAATATGCTACTCCCAGCTACTCAAAAAGTCTTGGAGGTGGGTACGCTTTCTCAGAAGGTTACCTTTCCTCGTCAACCTTGGGACAAATTCCTACAGCCGCATGATGACTAATCCCGCATGGATGACGATATTGACTTACAATTCCACAGCACTACAGCCCACAGCAGTACGGAAGGAACTGCCGACGCACGACGCACGTCCACCGGTGGGACCACCTATTGACACGCGTCTGAAGGAGATGTTATGTTTTAAGGACAAATGTACAGGGAAATCTATGATAAGTGAAATATGTCTTATAGGTGCGTAGAATTACTGGGGCTGACGGCACATAAATATATCGACGTCACAAATTGTGATGTACCCTTTTCCACCACCTACAACCTCTAAGACCCAATTTTTGACCCCTATAATTTTTTTTTCTCAAAATGATCAAGAATCTCTTAAACTTTAAACAGTGAAGTTTGAACGACTTTTATTTTTTTTTTTTCGTTTTTCGCCCCCCACCTCCGCTGCCACTAGACCGATTTTCAAAAGCTACAAAGGTTTTTCGTCCTAGGTATACTAATAACCTTATGTGAAATTTTCATCCAAATCCGACTAGTACCTTTCAAGTTATAGATGGGCCAAGGATTAGCTGATAGAAACATCAGTGACATGTTATATACAGGGTGTTCCTTAATGATATGCGAATATTTAAAGGTGCGAATCTACATGAAAAATTAATGTTAATTTGCTTTATAAACTATGGTCCAAAAATGTTTCCTTAAAAAAACTCGGGGTGTTGAAGTTTTAGGAAAAAATTGGAAATTAATTAATATGTTCAGAACCGCTCCAGATATTTCACTGCTATTTAGTACGTAGTGAAAGTTAATAAAGTTGCATATTTTTCAATGCAAAAATAATGTTTAGCTGTAACAGTGGCGTGCGTACGAGTATTGACTTCGACATTTTTTAAGAAAAAAATGGTGAGCCAATGGTTTTGAGGCAAATAAAAATATTTTTTAATTTCCCGTTCAACTTAAAACAAATGATCTTTCTTGAATTTTTTCCTTCGTTCATTTTTGAGTAAAAAAAAATAAAAACCGTTCTATTGTTCGAGAAAATTAATTTAATAATTTATTGAAGAATGCAATTTAGCAATAAATGTCTAGTTGCTCTGGAATATGTCACTGGCTTTTGACATCTGACAAGTCTCTGTTACTCAAATCTGTTCGCTGTGACATCTTTTTCATTATTTAGTTTTTACAATCTTGTTAATAATGGTGAATTATTCAAATGCAGAGATGGCGGAAATGTATATGGCCTTGCCGACGGTAATGGTGAGCAAGCCATTTATCATCAGAGATATCCCGATCGTGCTTTGCTAGATAGTCGAACCTTTTCTAATATTCATCGTCGTCTTGTTGAAACTGATTCTGTCCGAAAAGGAATATCTGAAGGTAGACCTCTAAGTGTGAGAACACCTGCAATTGAGGAAGCAGTGCTGCAGGAAGTCGAAGAACATCCTGAAACGAGTAAAAGGAAGATCGCTAGACACTTAAATATTTGCTGTCAAATTGTTTGGACAATTTTAGTGGATTTTTTGTTTAACCCTTACCATATTTTAAGAGTACAAGCATTACTTCCCATTGATTTTCCAAGGTGTGTGACCTTTTGTCAGTGGTATCTTCAAAAAATTACACAAAATCCGCAATTTGAATCAATGATTCTGTTTACGGACGAAGCTAATTTTTCTCGAAATGCCATTCAGAATTTCCACAATAATCATTTATGGGCAGAAGAAAATCCATATGCCGTAACCGAAACCCATTTCCAACACCAATTTTTGGTTAACGTATCGGCAGGAATTATTAGTAACCACTTTATTGGCCCATTCTTCTTGCTGGGACGACTTGACGGACAGACTTACCTCAATTTTCTTTAACAACAGTTGCCTTTGCTGCTTGATGATGTTCCGTTAGTAATAAGAAACAATATGTGGTACATGCATGATGGTGCACCCGCGCATTTCAGTGTAGCGGTTCGTAATTATTTACAAACTGTTTATCCAAATCGTTCTATTTGCCGCTGTGGTCCCCAAGAATGGCCACCAAGGTCCCCAGACCTCAACAGTTTAGATTTCTTTTTGTGTGGCTATCTTAAGTCACTAGTGTACACAAGTCCCATTAACACTGTAGAGGAATTAAGAGAAAGAAGAGTTGCAGCTTGTGATAGAATAAGTAACACTCCAGGGATATTTCAACGAGTGCGCAATTCCATGAGAAGGAGGGCGTAAGCATGCATACTAAGTGAAGGGGGCCATTTTAAACATTTTTTGTAATCATTTCATTGGTTTGAATGTTATGTTTATTTTGTCAGTTGTTGTTGTTCATTACCCCTAATGTGTTTATTTTTTCCAATTAGATTAATAATAATTTTGCAAGTTAGACAATAGAACGGTTTTTATTTTGTTCCTCAAAAATGGCGCATCGAAAGAAAACAATTCAAGAGAGATCATTTGTTTTAAATTGAACGGGGAATTTAAAGATATTTTGTTTGGCAAAAAGCTATTGGCGTACCATTTTTTTCTTAAAAAATATCGAAGTCAATACCCGTAAGCACGCCACTGTTAAAGCTAGAAATTATTTTTGCATTGAAAAATATGCAGCTTTATTAACTTTTACTACGTACTGAATATCAGTGAAATATCTGAGGCGTTTCTGAATATATTAATTAATTTCCATTTTTTTTCGTAAAACTTCAACACCCCGAGTTTTTGTAAGGAAACATTTTTGGACCATAGTTTATAAAGCAAACGAACATTAATTTTTTATGTAAATTCACACCCTTAAATATATTTGCATATCATTAAGGAACGCCCTGTATAACATTTAAAAAACATATCTCATTTTTGAAATTGTTCGCGATTAAAATACTTCCAGTAGGCGTAAGAAGTCAAAAAACACCAAAATACATACAATAATGAATGTAGAAATCTGTATACTTTATCAACTTTCCCTGGATCCAAATAATGTTCTGCCCACGCCTAAAATATGGCATTATGAAAAACATATTTTCATATGAATTTCAAGCACTTCGATGCAGCGTGATAGAAAAATGCCTGCCTGCAATAAAGCTTATCTTATCTTTTGTAATATAAACACAAAACACTTATTTCACCTACTAACATTGTAAAATAATGGTTGCGAAATACCGAATTGCGCTAATGATCATTATTATTCCAAGAGGTCCAGCTTTCAATGCATCGAACTAGGTTGACACAATCAAATTTCGATCTAAAAGTCTAAATGTTGCGTTGATAGTGTAAGTGAGGTGGCTTTACTTAAAAAACGTTTTACTTTCAACCGACGTAACCAGAATACTAATGCCAGTATCAGCTACGATACTTGATACCCAGGATTGATTTTAGAACGAAATTGTAATTCTACGTACGTAATAACAGTAAATGTTATTCCGTTGTGCATTTAGTTAGAGGTCCCGCCAAAATATGAGACTTTGTTTTTACCAAAGAATAGAGCAAAGGAAGAGAGCAGCTCAAAGAAACAAATGCAATTGATATGTCGGTGAAATAGTGCCACCGATTGGCCGATGTAAAATAGGCTTAAAGCTGTTTGAGGCAGGTATATTTGTTGTTTCAAAGTTGAGTCATTTATTTTAACTGCTTGTAGGGCTAGTCAAAAGTCTCCTATATATTGGACAATAAAATAAATGGTAAAAAGAAAAATTTTGAAAAATAAGAATTTTATTACACAGATTTAAGCGTCTAAGCGTTTTCTGTTTACTACTCTTAACTTTTATCTAAATTTGGCAAACTTTTGTATCATTGTATGGTTTTCAGTACGAGTCTTTGGTTCGGACAGTTATATCAGTCTTTCAATATGGCGTATACTTTTATTTGTCTGATTATTTTGTGCGAAAAAATGGCCCATGTAAATGACAACAATAAACTAGTAGACATAATACTGACGTACGGAGAGTGTCAACAAAATGCAGCCGCAGCATACAGGTTGTATGCCTAAAGGTTTCCTTTAAGAAATCATCCGACCCACGGATATTTGTAAATTTAGTTCTTAGACTTCGTGACACACATGATATTTGATAGAACAACGAGGAGGTTACACTGGAAGACCTGCTCAACCTGAAATACTACAAATTGAGGCAGACATTTTGGAAACTGTCAAGGACGACCAAACAGTAAGAACTAGAGCCATAGCAGCTCAAGTTAAAGTTTCTCATAGTAAAGACACAGTAAAGACGGGAGACAATACGACAAAAACAGCCTTACTACTATCAACGGGTACATGATGAGGCTCCACCACATTGTAGACGAGAAGTTCATGATCATCTAAGTAATGAGTTTCCGAAAAGAGGGATAGCGCGCAATGGACCCATTTCTTAACCTGCTGGCTCCCCGGATTTAACGTCTTGCGATTTATTTCTGTGGGGCTATTTGAAAGAGTTGATGTATCAAGATAGAGCAGTAAAATACTTTGGAATAACTTCAACAGCGCACTGAAAATGCTTGTGACTTAATTCGTGGACACCAGGATTTTATTTCCGTAGC